GACGTTTCGGGCCTAGACCCTTTTTTTTCAGAAAATCTGATTTTCTGAAGAAGGGTCTAGGCCCAAAACGTCAGCTTTCCTGCTCCTCTGATGCTGCTTGGGCTGCTGTGTTCATCCAGCTCTACACCTTGTTATCTCAGATTCTCCAGCATCTGCAGTTCCTACTATCTCTGAAACAACATTACCAGGCTGTGCCTGCTTTTTCTGAGGTTGCCAAGTCATAGTACAATTCAAGTGTGTGGTTCAGATTAAATGTATAACAGTGTGTACCATCACCTTGACGCAGTTGCAGCATATCAGCGAGATTCCTTTGACAGCCCCTTCTCTAAACACTCAGAGTTCAACATCAAAGGTCAAGGGCAGCAAGCACTTAGTAACATGACCACTAGCAAGTTCCCCTTTTTAAGCACACCATCCAGAATTGGAATTACCTCACTGTTATAGAGTCATAGACAGTCAAAGTCATACAGTGCAGAAAAGGCTCATTGATTCTTTCCTTCACAGTTACAGGATCAAAATCCTGGCACTCCTTCCCTCACAGCAACGTGAGTGTACCTATACCACATGGTGGTGAGCCATCATCTTGAAATGCGGCAGTCCATTACCTCAAGGGCAATTAAGAATCGATAACAAACACTAGCAGCATTAATATCCCAGTATTTCTCACATTTTAAAGACCCTCTCTGTGTTGTAGTCAGAGGGCCTATACTGTGGTCTTTGATTCTTTGTGGTGGCTACCCCAAGATTCACTGCACATAGCCATGGAGACAGTAAGGACTGCAGATGCTGGAAGCTAGAGTCAATAAATGTGGAATTGGAAAACCAGAGCAAGTCAGATAGCATCTGAGGAGCAGGAAAGTCAACGTTTTGGGCTAAAACCCTTTATCAGGACTGGGGAGGGGAGCCCAGAAATAAATAGAGGGAAGGGTTTGGGTCTGGGAGGAGGGTAGGTGGGATGGGGATGGGTGGATGCAGTGGGAAGGGTGGAGCAGTTGGTGAGTCGGAAGGTGGACAGTTTGGGGCGGATGGAGAGATTTTGAAGTTGGTGAAGTCAATATTCAGGCCATTGGGCTGTAAGCTCCCAAGGTGAAATACCAGGTGCTGTTCCTCCAGTTTACATTTAGCCTCACTCTGACAGTGGAGGAGGCCAAGGATGGACACGTCACCAGGGGAGTGCGAGGAGGAGTTAAAGTGGATGGCAACCGGAAGATCGGGTTGGTTGGTGCTTGCAGAGCCCAGTGCTCCGTGAACCGGTCCCCAAGTCTGCATTTGGTCAGTCTGATATAAAGAGCACATTGGGAGCAACACATACAGTAGATAAGGTTAGATGAAGTGCAGGTGAATCTCTGCTGGATTGGGAAGGATTCTTTGGGGCCTTGGACAGAGGTGAGAAGGGAGTTGGAGGGGCAGATGTAGCACCTCCCATGGTTGCAGGGAAAGGTACCAGGTGTGGGGGAGAGGTTGGTGGGGAGTGTGAAGCTGATGAGGGTGTCGCGGAGCTGAACAGTCCCTGTGGAAAGCGGACAGTATTCTCCAATATTTCCACCACCTACAATCAGACCCCACCACCAAAAGGATATTTTCCTCCCCACACCAGTCTGCTTTCCACTGGGTCCGTTCTCTCCGCGACTCGTTCGTCAGCTCCACATTCCCCACCAACCCCTCCACCACACCCAGTACCTTTCACTGCAACCACAGGAGGTGCTACACCTGCTCCTACACCTCCCCTCTCACCTCTGTCCAAGGCCCAAAACAATAGTTCCAAATCCAGTAGAAATTCACCTGCACTTCATCTAACCTTATCTACTGTATCCGTTGCTCCCAATGTGCTCTCCTCTATATTGGGGAGACCAAACGCAGACTCGGGGACCAGTTCACAGAGCACCAGTGCTCTACACGCACCGACCAACCCGACCTTCCGGTTGCCATCCACTCTAACTCCCCCTCCCACTCCCCTGGTGACATGTCCATCCTTGGCCTCCTCCACTGTCAGAGTGAGGCCAGACGTAAACTGGAAGAACAACACCTGATATTTCGCCTTGGGAACTTACAGCCCAATAGCCTGAATATTGACTGCACCAGCTTCAAAATCTCTCCATCTCCAACTATCCATCTTCTGACTCACCTAACCACTCCACCCTTCCCACTGACCAACTAAAATAACCACCAACCTTTCTCCTTCCCACCTACTCTCCTCCCAGCCACACCCCCCCCCTCCCTTTATTTTTTTCTGGGCTCCCCTCCCCAGCCCTGACGAAGGGTTTCGGCCTGAAACATTGACTTTCCTGCTCCTCGGATGTAGCCGTGGAGCCTGGAATGTGACAATCTGTAACCCTTGGTCACCAGCAGTTCCCTGTACTGGGAGGCAGACAAACAATAATTGAGCTGATGGCTCTCTGACAGCTGTTGGTGATTCTCTTGGTGTGTGGCACTTGGGGAAAGTCTGTAGGGCTGTGTTGTGGATTTGCTGAAGATGAACCTGAACAAACCACTGTATTTTTCATAAACAGCAACATCATTATAGGCTCATAATTAATTTTAAGGATGGTGGTGGAACAGTCCTTGTGCCGCAGGGGATAGTGCCCAACCTCTGAACCAGATTCTAGGACTTGACAGCCAAGGAAGGCACAACCCCAAAAGTGACCATATAGGTTGAGTGTCAGCCTGCAAATCCTGCCTACACGTCTCGGGCAATAAGAGCGGCAGAGATTTCTGTTCAGCCACTGTGATTCCATTCATTGGAGAGATTATCATCAAGGCACAGCCGCTGTTTTGCAAATTCCGGAAATGGGTGGTGGACGCCAGAGGCACTGACACTCTGCATGTGAATGAAGAGTCTGAAAGGGAGGGTTCTTCGCTCCCTCAGCTAAACAATGTCTTATTTGAAAGTTTTGATGATGAGATAATCTCTTATTTTAAGAGATGTGCCTCTCAGGACCTGTGATTGATGGTGACACTAGGTGCATTGAGTAGAAAAGTTATAAAGATTCTTCTCCCAAGTGAGCACGATATCCACTCAAAGTAAGCCTTAAGGTCGCTAAAAATGTGTTACGTTAAAATACAGTTCCATGGGATTTCATGATGCCATCAAATTCACTCCGTAGTAATGCCTGGTTTATACATGAAATCAGAAACCAGGCAATTTCATGCTTGGTGAAATCATAGGATTTATTAATTCCAAATAATATAACAAATTAGCTCCGTTTAGTTGACAAAGAAACAAAAATTATGTTCAAATACATGCTGTCAGCTGTGATTCTGGGTAGTACTCTCACTTTTATCAGAAGGGTGTGGGTTCAAACCCCATTTCAGAGAAGTAAGCATTTTATCTTGGTTCAGTCCCTGCTGCTTTGTCAGAGTGATGCACTTTAGAGATGAAAATGTGTGCCTGCCCTCTCGGGTGAACGTGGACATTGCCATGGCACTATAAAAGATGGGCGGGATAGCTGTCATCTCCAGTATTTATTCCTTGACCAGCATCAACTTCCTGAGTTCTCTGCCAAAGGACAAGACCAACCAGCAGTCCCACAACCCTCATGATAAGACAAGCAAGGGGCAGATCCCAGATACACCCTAGTTCAAACAGGTATTGAACCCCATGCTATTGGTGCTAATCTGAGCCAACTGCTGTGCCCCCCAGTAGCCATGGAAACTTACACATTTACATGCATATTGTAACCTGGAACCAAGGATAGCAATGATGGAGGCTCTTTCTGTTATGGATGGAATCCTAATGACTGACCAGAAATCTCGGCCACTCTTGTAACCTGGGGTGTGTGTCAGGGGGATTTGCAAGTTGATAATCAACCTGTATGACCATTTTACAAACACACCATCTTTGGTCATGAAATCCTCATGTGGGACCCGAACCTGGAGCTTATGGCTCAGAGGCAGGGGCACTACAATTATCAACAATAAAACTAATTATCAACACATTGTAATGCTGCTGTTGCGTTCTAGCCACAACTTTGCTGTAGTGAGGATAATGTAGTAACCAGTGACTATACTCCTGAAGTATTTTGTTGTTTGTGAACCACTTTGGGATCTTTTGCAATCATGAAAGACGCTGTATCCATTTGAAGTTTTTTATGTGCCTCTGCTGCTTTTGTCAACTCTGCACCTCATAATGATGCTGTCTGTTTTTGCTCCTAGGAGAAGCTGTGCAGCAAGGAATGTGAGGGTCTGACAGGCTTGGTCTCATTGCCGCCACACATTCCACTTGTAGGCAGCTGCCCAATCAAGAGCCTTCCTGTGATGGGTGATGTGTGACCTGACCAGTCAAGATTGGAAGAAGGAAGCAAAGGGCTGTGGACTTTTCTGTTGAAATTAATTTACATTTGGAATGATGTAACGTTTAAATCAGAGCTTTTTCATAAAGGGAGGTGCTGTAAGAGCACACTGTTTTAAAAACATTTTAAAAGAGGAACAGTAATGGTATGGTAATCCAAAATTGTCAAGAGGGATGGTGGGGGTGGACATGTCCATATACTTTCTGGTGTGTAGGGACCAGCATTTTATTCTCCAGAAGATTGGAGCAGACATCTTACACAGAGTCCCCTATCTGGTTCTCCCTAACACTGGGCAGCACTCAATATTTGTGAAGTTATCAAGGATCAAGTTGCGAAAGGAAATCTTACTCTAACTTGACATGGATGCCTGCAACGTCACAGACATAGGTGACAGTGAATAGGGCAGTAAATGGAAATCTGCAACACCAGTTTGAGTGTAATATACATAGTGTAATATGAATGTCCAGATTAGGAGCAGGAGTAGGCCTTTTGGTCTCTGTTGCCAGGTCTGCCCTTCAACAAGATCATTGCTGATCTATTGTGGCCTACATTCCAGCCTCCTCCGATAGCCATTTAGTTAGTGTACTACTCTCTGAGGATGAGAATTCCAAAGATTCTCAACCCTCTTAAAAAAAAAAGAATCTCCTCACTTCTGTCTCAAATGGGGCACCCTTGATTTTTTAAATGTTTCCCCGGATCCTGGCCTCTTCCACAGGGGAGGAGAACTTTCAGCATCCACCCTGTCAGGATATTCCCCGGCGCTTGGTAGGTAAAGATTCACATTAGTTTGGTGGTTCCTCTTTCAGCTTTTTCCAGGTTACACAGAGTTGCAATGCTGATTGAACCTTTTCTGATATGAAGGTGCTAAAATTTGTGAAAGGCAAATTTATAGCAATTACAGAAAGCTCATTACAGGATGAATGACCATTAGAAAAGCTAGACAAATAATGTGTGAGATCCACCTCATTCTCCTGGTACTTGCATGACTGACCAATGATGGAATTGTTGCAACACGCAATCTGCAGATTCAGATAAAACAGACTCAGGTGTGAGGCAAAAAAATTTTCCAATACATCCAACCCACCGGTCCAAAGCCTGCATCTCCCTCCCAAATTTTATATCCTTATTGTGTACTCTTTTGAGAGATTTTACCTCTGTACTCCTAATCATTTAAGAAACAGTTAAAAATACATTGGGAAGGACAAGCCTGTCTGGTCTTCTGGATGAGCAGTAATGGGCTGAATGGTCTCCCTCACCCATACCAATTTTGTGATCTGCGCAAAACTAGTGGCTGCTTGAAAGCCAGACAAGAGACAGATTCAGTCAAACTGAACAGCATACAGGTATCTTTATTAATCCAAATTGGCATATCACATATGTACCTTTACCCATTTGAACATTTCCTTAAGAGGAGAAACATTATCTTTGTCTCGGTTCCGTTCGGCAAACATTGTCAAAGCACCTGGGGTGGCACAGTGGCTCAGTGGTTAGCAATGCTGCCTCACAGCGCTGGGGACCCAGGTTTGATTCTGCTCTCGGATGATTGTCTGCATGGAGTTTGCACATTCTCACTGTGTCTGCGTGGATTTCCTCCGGGTGCTCCTGTTTCCTCCCACAGTCCAAAGATGTGCAGGTTAGGTGGATTGCCCATAGTGTCCAGGGATGTTTAAGTTAGGTGGGTTAGACACGGGGAAATGCAGGGGTAGGGGAATGAGTCGGGGTGGGATGCTATTTGGAGGGCGGTGTGGACTAGTTGGACTGAATGGCTTGCTTCCATACTGTAGGGCTTCTATGATCAACAGCGAACAAAATGGTGCCATTCACTGACTCCATTTTGGTGGTTATGGAGTGGAGAGTGTAGAACTGGTGACTCTTGCCTATCTTCCAACAGCTCTGCTGAGAGAGGCTGTAATTGTGATTTAGGAGCAGGGCACTTTCTCCAATCTCTAAGCTACAATTCACATGGGAGCGGCATGTCCCTCTGCATTCGAAGCCTAGATTTGGAAACCAGTCTTTGGCCTGTTCTCTCCATTGAACAAAATTTATCCAGCCCAATGTCTTGCCAAAACATGCTGCTGAAGGACAGATTGCAGTTGATTTGCATTGAAATCCTGGAATATACAAAAAAAGTGCAGAAGTTGGTCGTTCAACCAGAAGGATAGCGACAGAGCTACGTGAGAGAGTAGGAGTAGCATTAACACCAGCTTCAGTAAGTTGGGCCAAATGGCCCATTTCTGTGCTGAAAATACTTGCAAGCCTTTCCCATTTTACTCTTGTTCTCTTCACTGCCTCTTCTTCAACCTGACTCAGGCTTGAATCACATTTTGTGGAAACAAAAGGCAAGTGCCATGCCTCACTGGAGCAGCACACTGCAAATCAAACTATTCCTGGAATCATCATAAAAACTAAAAAGATTTTATAAAAGTGAACAGAATTCCTTGATTTATCTGCCATAGAGCCAGTTTAACAAAAAGCAGGGACCAAGTTTCTGTATTTAGCAAGAATGACTATTACATATGAATAGTTACGGGTAAACAAGTATGATCGTCCACATATACTTCTACTGTTTAACACTTTAACCCCTTATAAAACTCCCTCCACACACATAAACAAGGTTAGCGAAGAAAAATAAACTGGCTTACTTAGGTTTTTTTAACTGAGCGAAGAGGGACACCATCTTCCTTTTCAGCGACCTGAATACTTCTGGTCCTATCATTCACACCCACAAGCTGTTCAACTACCCAGGAGGTAACCATGTAGTTGTTGGCAAGCAAATGGTCAAAAGTACAGAAAAATGAAAAGATAAAATCTTCATTTCCCATCTCCCGCCCCCACCTTTTCCAATTACCACTTACTGTTAGACCAGTTAGAATGAATCACTCACGATCCATTAGAACTGGACCAAAGAGAAAGCTGGTCCTAAATGTTGCTTTGATTTTAATCTTTTCCAACTGTACCTTATATTTCTGAGGTGTTCTTTCAGGACTTGGACGTGTTGCTCAACTCTCCAAGAACAAATAAAAAGAAGTCTGCCTCCTTTTCTTAGCCTTTAATTTCATAATTTGTGTACAATTGCTGCTGTTATTCAGACCTGAGTGAATGTACAAATGTCACTTATGAAGAGCCATCTTTAGCTGGTTTGACGTGGTTATGGTAAGAATCTGAGTTGACCAATTTTAGCTAGTCTGAGAAGTCAGACAAGGGACTAGCTTCCAGTTTCAGCTCTCCATTCTGTCCTGTTAGCCAGTTGCGAAAGGTGGTGAGTGAACCAAGGTAACTGCCCCCTTGTTTGCTCATAGTTTCCCCAGAGGTAAGGAATTGGCCAGGAGACAGTAAGGACTGCTGATGCTGGAAGCTAGAGTCAATAAAAGTGGAGCTGGAAAAGCACAGCAGGTCAGACAGCATCCGAGGAGCAGAAAAGTCAATATTTCTGGCCAAAATGCTTCATCAGGGCTGGGGGGAGGGTAGCTGAGATGGAGATAGGTGGATGCAGGTAGGGGGTTATTATGGTTGGTCAGTGGGAAGGGTGGAGTGGATAGGTGAGTAGGAAGATGGACACGTTGAGGGAGGATAGATTTGAAGCTGGTGATGCACGTAGGAGGTTATTGTGGTTGGTTAGTGGGAAGGGTGGAGCAGACAGGTGAGTCAGAAGATGGGCAGGTTGGGGGAGGAGAGATTTTGAAGCTGGTGAAGTCGATATTCAGGCCATTCGGCTGTAAGCTCCCAAGGCAAAATATCAGGTGTTGTTCCTCCAGTTTACATTTACAACATCACTCACCTGAATCTCTCACCCATCTCATTTACTCCAACCACTCCCCATCTGAACGCGCAGCCCTCTGCTCTCTCCACTCCAACCCCAACCTCAACCTCACCTTTAAACCCTCCAACAAGAGGTGATATGGCAAACTGATCTCTACATGGCTGAGGTCAGATGCCAACTCTGACACCTCCTACTGTCCCCTCGATTACAACCCCACCTCTGATCACCGAGCCATCATCTCCCAGACCATCAACAATCTCATCACCTTGGGGGATCTTCTGTCCACAGCCTCCAACCTGATAGTTCCCCATCCCCACACTGCCTGTTTCTATCTCCTACCCAAAAACTATAAACCAGCAGGAGAGGTAGGCAGGTAGTCCGGGAGTCTCTGTGGCTATCCCCCTCTCTAACAGGTATACCGAGTCGGGGGCCGGGG